CCATGAACGTGGATCCGTACCTACCATGCATTTCGTCGCAAAACCACTTCCGGTCCCGCCCACTGGTCCATGGTCCGTGGAAGATTCCTTTAACCCATGCCCGACTGCGCTCGTTCTCGTGCACCGCTTTTCGGATCAGTGACGGCGATTGCAAAATATCAGCCACCGGTGGTTGACATTGTCCCTCGCGACCCTTTGTTGTAATGGTGCGAGATTGGAAAAATGAATGACTTTCGTTGAAACTTCTATTAAGCTTAGTAATCACCGTGATCACGTGTACGACACTTATTTTTGGCGTGGGTGCCAAATTGGCGCCTAACTGCACCGACATGGCGCAACACTTGTTTCAATAATTTCATTGAAAATTGCATACAGGGGTTATTCAGCGTTTTGATCACGAATATGACAGTCGTTTTTGGCGCAACTTCACACGAAATCCTCCGAAGTGATCATTTTCGTGTCAGCCACCGGTTCGTGACATTGTCGCGAATAGGTTAGAACTGTGTTCGGCTTCGAACTATGCTTTACAGCAAAAAGTTATAGAAACAAATCAAAAACGTAAGCGATGTAGGATTCAAGGCTCGATGTGATCTTTTCTTATTCTTATTCCCAACAGGGCTGATCACTTGTATGCGTGTTGATAGAATAATGCTTAGCAATTGCTAAATGTACATCTTAACAGAGCCTGATGTGCCCAATAACAAGCAGGCTTTGTGTAGGAAAGAACCCACTTGAAGAATACCCTACGAATTGTTGTCACATAAATCATCGATTCGACAAAAAAAGTTAGGGAAAACTAACAGTCCGCGCAGTTGTAAGTGGGCAATGGCTGTGGGTACCGAGATATTAAGTGGATTTGATCCTTCGCGAGCAGACAGCCCTCCCCTACCAGATGTTTTCGATTGTGCGACACTGTTTTCATCAAGTGTAGAAAGAAGCGGTGCTGTTCCTGGTGTAGGCTCATTTTCACAAAAATTTTCGCGGTTTGTCTTGGGATCTCAGCGTTAGTGCAGCACTGTGTGGCGCTTTGAGGAACCTCGAAAATCGGAGGCGTGCATCTGATGGACACCGTTTGCCTCCAAAACGAGTGTTTTCAACGTAATATTGTTGAAGACGATTTTTTTTCTATAAAGAAAACTACTACTCCCAGCTCTTCAGAAATGTAGTCTGCGATGCTGTGAATGCTAATGAAAAAGAATCATGATCAGGTAAGTTGTCGTAACAGTTATTATCTTCAGGCCCTTCAGGTGCCGGCACTGTTCTCAAGTCGCCGTCGTTCCTCGCGACGATCTGTTCGTTCAGCCTCTTCCGAAGACGTCCGATATACAAACATTAAGACGCTTTTCAAGGACTTCTGCAATAGGACTAGCTCACACGGTGTACCATTCCTAGGGTGAGGTGTTTTCGTTGATAGCTTTCACTTTGTTCACTTCGTCAGTCGACTGACAGACCAATAGATTCTCTGGAAACGGTTCAATAAGAACACCTCTCGAATGAAAGCGGCAGAGCACGACTGATCCGATTAGTTTTGGCCTTGGCATTGGTTGTCAGTTAAGCTCTCATTTTTCAGTCAGACCAAAGCTTGCAGTTGACATGATTTTTTCTCTTAACAAGGTTGTTTTCAACTGGCAACGGTTGACGCAGTTCGGCCTCATAGGCTTATTTGTAAGACAGAATTTACGATGAAAAGCTAGCTCACTGAAAATTAGGAGGCGCAGTCCAGGGGAACAAGCCAACCCGGGAGGTGGTAACGCTCGCACACGCCGCAGCCAAGAAACCATGTTAAACGAAGTGGACTCGATAATGGGACCCCCTTTCGTGCTCGTTGACTTTCGCAGCATTGATGCGAACTGTCATCTTGGTGACCTCTGCAAGGCTTACGCTGTCTCTGCTGTCTGTGTTGGCGTTCTGAGCCAACTGCGCTAAAGGGAAGCCCATGTTGGATCGCCGGAGCATATCATTCAATGCGAATTTGCGTGTTGAATTTGTTTGTTGTTGCTCTCAGGGGGTTCTCCTGTCCTCTCAGCTAGAAAATCTCCTTCTTCGAACCCTCGTTAACCTCTTAAACTTCAACACTCGAAGCTATAAATTGAAAGTCGTCCTACCCATCATGATTTTCAGATGTGCCTCGTTCTTGGATGGAGCGCGTGGGTGATGGCAGTGTGCTTTTGTGCTGCTACCCTTTCTTGTGCCAAACCTTATTGGACGCTTTCTGATTATTTCCAGTATAGGACTATTATCGAAATGCAGTTGAGGTTTGAAGCTGGTAAAGAGTTCCTAGTTTGAATTTTCTGCCTGTCTTGCTAAAGTCAATGTACATGTCAGTATTACACATCGTTGGACTGCGTAAAACGTTTTACTCAACTTAGCGCGCTATTCCTAAATTTCTCCCTTATTCTATTCTCAATGCAAAAATCCCAGTCCATCACTTTCACAGTGCCTCTTCTACTTGAAGCTCTTTATCTGTGATGTTAGAACTGGAATCTTCCACGCCCATGGACCGATGCGCCCAGGCCGTTGTCCGCGGAAGTCGGATTTTTGCGAGCGAAAATGCATGTTAAGTTATCAGCGGATCCAACTGTTCATTTGATGATTAAAGTGAATCCTGATTTCACCTGTTTCTCTTCGACCCACGTGCACCGTACCTACGAATCGCAATTTCTATACAAATTAATTTCCGTCACTTGGCAATACTGGATCCATGGTCCGTCAGACGAGAACTTCCTTTCAATATTCACACTTACATATTTCGCTTTCATATGAATTACTTGCTTATGTAAAGTTTGGAGTCGCTCAATGCACCATTAATCTTGTCAACCCGCACACAGTATGTCCGGCACAGAAGGCGATGATGGACAACCCACAGCCATTCAGTCCTTCACGACCCTCGAAGATCGATGATCCTCCGATTATATCGCTGTGCTTATGCGCGAGCAGAAAAAGTTGAATACACCAAAAGCTGCGCACACACAATGACTCAAATAGGGTGTATCCTGTGGCACAAAAAAAAGTGCTGTGCCTTGCTTCAGGATCTCTTTATCTCCCAGAAATCAATATTTCAGCACCGTTTCCCGCTGCTACAGTGTGCAATCTGAATGCTTTCAAGTACAGCGAGCTCATTCAATACGAAGACATCAAAGAAGGGGTAGGTTTAAAGGACGAATTCACGATGAAAAAGCAACCCATTTCAAATTAACCTAGGGATGGTGAGTGGTACACGAAAGAAGGAAGAACCATGAGAAACGGCCCAGAACCCGAGAAATGGGACCCCTTCCTTGCCCGTTGATTTGAGCATTGATGCGACTCTCATCGCTGTGCCCTCTTCAACACTACGCTCTCTCAGCTATCTAATCACTCGCCACGTATTGAACTACGGCGAGTGAGAGATGATCGGTGGGCGGAGATCGCCGGACCCGCCAGCTTTGAGGCATGATAGGTCGCCGAGGTCAAATTTTTCCATGCGAATTGCGCGTCAGTTCGCACCCTCAGGAGGTCCGTGGGTCCCTCAACTAGGTCAGTTTCCCTTTCTTCGACCTTCATTCTAATCGTGAATTTCTCCTTTTGTCGAATTTCAGGAAACTTTTCTTGCATTTTTCAATTTTCGTGTATCCTTAGTGATGCATCCAAAAATATGAGATAACTGCAGCTAAGAGTTTACTAAACGAAGAGTGGGGAGAGATGCGATAATATTGCAACCAGAAAAACGTGGAATATTTCAAGCAAAGGGAAGGATTTTTTTCTCCAGCAACTGCTCGTGAAAGCTTCAGCAGGTTGAAAACTACAACTTACCCACCCCTTAAGCGGCTTGTTTCCAGCAAGGCGTGTGAGCGTAATTTTAACCCGCACTGAGAGAGGCACTAATTATTATCCGCCAGAGTACATCCTTGATTGTGTTTTTCTGTCATTAGCTTCCCAGTCAAGCACCCAGCCCCTAAATTATATTCGACGTGCTAGCGAGGCGTACTCTGCCCTTGAGAATTGGGCGTCAGTGAAAATGGTACTACCTCAACCGCCTGACCACTTTGCACAACTCTCGCCCTTCCCACCCCCCCCATATCGACTTTTCCTTTTGATGGAGTTATGAGTGCAAAGGCAGAGCACGAAGGAATGTAATCCCAATGTGCGGGTATTGCAATACCACTATCGTCGTTATCGCTAGAAGCCGGTGCTTATGACAGGACTGTCCAGCGGTACAGAGAGTGAAGGCATTCCCTGCACTCTTGGAGCAGAAAGATATGGACAAGTCGCTTTTATTGTCGAACTCCTGACTTGTCCATATTACGCCCCCCCCCCCCCCCTAGTGTCGACGTCATTATCTCGCCACGAATGCTCGTGTTGCGAGCGGATTCGTACCATGAATGTTGAAGATAAGGAGAGTCCAAAATTGAAATCTCAATTGGTTAACGGGAATTATTAGTTTTCCTCCAAATATAAATTGTGGGTAATGCTCTTTTTCTAGAAGATCAGCTCATGAATTTACAGAACTGCCATCATTTTATCCTAATACATATTTACAGTTCGATCATTGGGAAAGAGTCATAAACGCCAAGGAAATGAACGAAATGCTACGTAAAGACGAACAGGAGATGGAAACCGTTGATCTTCGCCAGTAAGTAATAGATTTTCATAAGTGTTGGAGCCGTGTACGTGTCTCAAAAATATAAGTCCATTTTTTTCTTAGATATCTTCGAAAAAATAATGTGATGCATTTTTAAGGCACTCTCCTAGATGAGTAGGGACGAATCAATCTTTTGGTGGATATAATAGAGCTGTTCACTAATCTTGCAGATGCCCCTACTCTCTGAACAAGGGTGCTAGGGCCCTCCTAAACCGCTTTGGCCACATCCTTTTTTCCTCATTCGCAACCTGCGGGTGTCTGCGCCCTCTCATCTGTCGTGCTTCCCTCGCCTACCCTCTCTTCGCCATGCGCAGTGTTCATTGCCTTTGCTCAGAAGTGAAGAAGCTCTTGGATTTATACGTTTCCGTCTAGCTCCATGGCTGTTTACTTCACCCCGGTCCATTCGTACCCCTGCTTTCATTTTCCGGAAAGGAACAGTTGTCATCTCAAGGGTGGCAAAAGCTGAGGGGTTATCTTGAGATGTGATTGGAGGCGTTCTTTCGCCCTTGTGGAATCTCAAGTACCGTAATTTAACTAGAAATACTCTTTGGTAGCCTTTACCTGGCTTTCGACCCGTGCGATCCGAATTCTTCATATTTTTATACTACCTTTCATTTCTTCCAGAAAACGCACGCCGTTGAATTTTCCAATCGACGAACGCGATATCAAAGGAGCCGTCTATCAGCCGATATTTGTTCGATGTACATGCTTGAATATGGAACAATGCGTACCGAATAGGAATCCTCTCGAGGTACGTTTTTTTACGCGAACTTTCGTCGTTGAAATTGATCACTGACTTTTCCTTGGAAGCAGTCGGATACCATTCCTGAAAACAGCAACTTCACTTGCTGTGCCTGGTCGAAGATGATCCTCTGTCGTCCATTATGAGCACTAATTCAGGTGAACGCCTCAGTATGCATGTGTTTTGAAGACGTAACTAGAGGACTAATATGGCCGTGTTACCCAACGACCGCATGGAGCGTTAAGGTCGGTGGAATGAAGTTTGAAAACTTTCTCTAGTGAGAGGTCTCTTCCCTACAATTAATTTTTCTTTCTTATTTTCTCCTCTCCTTTGTTGAGTGATAGGAATACAAGGCGCACACAACTTTTTCGTTGAGACGATGCGGTCTTTTTTAGGAATGTCATGAATGCTCCATCATTTCAAACACGTGCTCGGAGCCCAAGGAGAACAACGTCACTAAAAAGACGCAACCTTGCCTTTGCCAGAGCATTTCGCATCACTGCATGGTCCATCCAAAGGTGTTCTTTTCATTTTCAGTTTTTCCGAAGTTACCTATCTCAGATTTTTGCAAGCTTTCGAAGTTTTTGCTTCTGCTTCAAATCCTTTCCCTATTCATATTTGCTTTACATTCCTACTGGTTCACAAATATGGTCGTTTGTCACTAGAGTAGAGAATTCAAAAGATTCTTTTTGAAGGCGGATTTGCGATAAACAGACAGCTCATTAAGATTGAGGCTGGTGAGGGATGAAGAGAACAAGAAAACATGAGAAACGGAACAAAATCCGAGAAATGGTGAACCTTCCTAGCCTGTTGATTCCCACATTGATGTGACTCTCATCGTGCTGCCCTGTTCAACGCTATCGCTCTACCGCGCCGATAGGAGGGCCATGATCACCGCCGGGAGCATATCCTCCGTGCCGGTCAGCAATCTTGGGGGTCCTCCTTCCCACTCTGTACATATACACTCTGTAGATTCCCCTTCTTCAATCTTCAACCTTATCGTGAAATCATCCTCCAACTCTAAAAATCTACAGATTTTGCGTTTTACTTGAATTACATCACAAGTGTATCTAGATTAAACAGTGTAGGACTTAATGTCCATTGTGCTGTTCTTCGGAATCTAGAGGTAGCGCTGTTTCTGGAGCTTTGACAAAGTTTTTCAAAAGCATTTTTTCAAGACAGCCTATATTTCGCTTGCAGAACATTTAAAGGACGAATTCACGATGAAAAGCAACCCATTTCAAATTAACCTAGGGATGGTGAGTGGTACACGAAAGAAGGAAGAACCATGAGAAACGGCCCAGAACCCGAGAAATGGGACCCCTTCCTTGCCCGTTGATTTGCGCATTGATGCGACTCTCATCGCTGTGCCCTCTTCAACACTACGCTCTCTCTGCTATCACGTATAGACCTGCGGCGAGTGATCAGATGGTCGGTGGGCGTACCCCGCCAACCGCGCCAAGAGTGAGCCATGCTAGGTCGCCGAGGTCAAATCTTTCGATGCCAATTGCGCGTCAGTTCGCACCCTCAGGAGGTCCGTGGGTCTCCTCAACTAGGTGAATTACTCCTTCTTCGACCTTCATTCTAATCGTGAATTCCTCCTTTAAGGAGCATTTCACGATCAGTAACGTAGATGCGTTCCCATCACTAGATTTTGAAAGAAATTATTGCCAGTGTAGAAAAAGGTAAACGCAACAGATGGGACGACTGTTTTTGAAAGTTCTTTTTCTCGTGGAGTGGATTGTGCGACGAGGAAGATATACCAGTCGCAGAGAAGAAAGAGCGAGAGAGCCAATGAGGCAAGAATACGCAGACTTCCCACCACGTGAACCGTTGCATCGCGACTGACATTGGTAATACACCAGATCAAGGTCCTACCGCCCTTGTCACCCACATTGTCGCGATAGTGTCGCTAACTCTGCCTATGAGAATCCCGCTGTTTTATTCTGGGAGAGGATAACATCTCAACAGGAGGATGCTAAACGGAGTATGCCTTTAATTTCCAACAGCTTTGAAGTGCAAAATAGTGTCTCTTCCTTATTTCTTCTCTTGGATGTGATGTGTTCATGGATAAAGCAAAATGAAGAACTAGTACCACAACTTATTCCATCATAAAATGGTTTTATTTTCAATGGAAGTCTTTCTTCTAGCGCAGATTAATCACTTTTAACCCCAATAAGTAATTTTGTGCACCCTTCGCTTTTTCATTCTCTCCTCCTTGGTGTTTTCTTGTTGCTAGAATTTGCGGAATTTTCTTTCTTCAATGGAAGTGCTATTCTCTCTGGTGCATGAAAAGATCACAGACACGTCCGTACAGTCTTAGATGTTGCATGAATGTGATGAAGTGAGCGGTATTCACAAAATATCGGCCACGATACTTTGCAACGATAATGAAGTGAGTAGACAGGACCTTCTCCCCTTAGGTTCCTTTCGGGGTTGCTTTACTGGTAACAGCCAAGTCGGCATACTAATGAAAATTGACTCCGACACACAGCTCGATGTAGACTATATGTACAGTAGTAGCGGTCAAAAGTGCTCGCCTAACAGTTTTTCGTGCTTCTCTTTTTGCCAGAAAAAAAATAAATGGTCGGAAATTTTTCTGTTTGAACATCCTGTTTCTTTAAGGCTCGAAGGATATAAAAACACTAGAAAACATATTGTGTGTTAGTTTTTGTGCCTTTCGAGGTTGGTCGGTGGAACTTTTATTAAAGCGGCCTAACGTTTCGACTTGATCGTCGTCTTCGGAGGCCTGAATGTGGTTCAAGGTTTAAATTTACGAACTAATCGACCAAGCACCTCGACTTCTCCAGCGGTTCCGACATTATGCTAAGAACCACAAAGAGAATCCCGAGCAATATGAGAAATAAACTCACCCTGGTTCCACGTTTTGTGCGGAGAAGTCCGCTACCACACTTTAGCGTAACTAGTACTAAGTGGGACTACTATGTGTCTCTGTTTTAGTGAAAGAAAGAGGATGCAACGTAACGTTTATTGGCATAAAGTGAAAGGTGCTGCTGGTTATTGGACGGCGTCATCTCGGTTGTTCATCGCTGGATTCTAGCGGAAATCCAATGCTTCCAATGATTTCTAGCAATTTCGTTCATGCATACGTGCATCGAATTCAACGCCATCATGCTCTTCGGTCTTGTGCCTCCCAAGGGCTGTTGAAACAGTACCGCGCCTCATGCTGGCCAGATGTTCTTTGATACGAATGGCTAGAACCCTTCCTTTTTCTCCAATATAGGTTGCGCGTTGCAAGCCTGACACTCGATCTGATAAATTACTCCCCTATGCGCGCAACCTCCTATCTTACCGTGTTGGGCAGACAACGCAACCCTCTGACACGCACTGCTTATCCTAGAGCTGTTCCGAACCAGTTGCCGTCCTATGTTCTCGTTAGGGATGTTCACTAACTGAACATCGTTCTGCAACTGTGCTCTTCTCAATGCTTCGTTGAATCGCAATACTCACTTTGTCAAATATATAATGGTAAACATAAGGGCAACATTCTATGGCGCGGTACCTCTCGTGGGGCAGTGTGCCGTCTCTGTGATCTTTGTACCGAATAGCCATTTGATAAGGCAATTTTGGTAGCTAGTTTTCGTGATTCATGTTTTTCTTCGTCATCTGTGCTCACCCCCATTGCTGTTTGAACATGTTGCGAACAACAGCTCGTTTAACGGCAATAGGATGAGCTGACATAGCTGAATCAGAATGTTTTTGGAGCTACTTTTTCGGTACCACTTCACACGAACAATGCCATTGGATAGCTTGACCTGTGTGTTGAGGTAGGGCAACCAACCGTCGTGTTGGTACTTCACGTGTGAGTTTATGTACTGCGACTGCTCATTCATTAATCGGAAACACTCATCCATTTCGGACTGTGTTGATGTTATAATGAAACAGTCGTCTATGTATCTGCAGTACATTAAAGGAAAACGCTCGAGCACCGGTCGTCTCTACTTTACCCATGAAGCAAACGCAGCACTGGTGCAAAGCGCTGACCCATGGCTAGACCTCTGATTTGAGAATAGTATGTCCCTGCCCACCAAGATATTGCAACTCAAGCATTCCTTGATCAGAGTCATTATGATTGCTTTACTGAGTCCAAATATGTAGTTGTAT